CACTTGACTTCTTGGCCACAATTTCTTCATTTATAAAATGAGACTAATATTACCTATTCTGACATTATTATTATGTTACTGGGAGCAACTGAGACAAAGTCCGCTTAGTACCTTGGAAAATGAAAAGCAGTACAAATATAAATTTCTTACATTAATTAGTCATTGTGTTTTAATTCTAGACAGGGTAGAAAGATGCCATCCCCATCAAAGAGTTCTTTAATTCTTCCGTAAGAAGAATTTCCTATATTACAATTTGTATAATGCTTTAAAGTTTTAAAAGCTATTTTTGAAAAAAAATCATGACCCTCTACCCCCTGAAATCATGCCAACATATGACCAAATGAAGAGCAAGTAGAAATAGTTATTTTTCTGATGAGTTTCAGTTAAAGGTAAAATAAAGTAATAAAAGACTTTATCTTTTGAAATAGTTCTTGCTGCATAATCATTCCAGTTTGTAGGAAAAGTGTATGTCATGATCTTTTTGCTAGTATTTTATGTTGTCTATACACTCTGATGCATTTGTTTGAAGGTTTTCTAGGGCCAACATGAACAGAAATATCACATGAGTATTTTTTGAAATAAAAACAAACTTTAACATAATATCACTGATTAGGGGAGGACAACTGGAGGTACTGAAATTACTGAGGATGAGTAAGCTCATGAAAAAACTCAGTCTTCAAAAATAATGAAAAGCTTCAAGGTTTAGAAGATATAACCAATGGCCTTCAAATACATTTCTCTTTTGAGATGATCTGTCTTTAGCATTCTGGGTTATGAGCTCAATGCCTTATTGGTCACTTACAAGGTATCAGACAGCAAATTTCAGGAAATATGACATTGTTTTCAACTTGTACATTATATGGTATTAGTAGTGGTGATGATGCCAACAGTTACAAATACACTTCAGGTGCACCCACTGTCCCCTTCTCTCTTTTATCCCTCACTGCTACCACAAGATAGAATAACTAGCATACTAGAATAAGCAATGCAGACTTTAAAAAATGACAGCTATAATCTAAGCCAGTGGTCAACATCAGCCTCGCTTAGAAGTTAACCAAGGACTTGCATCAATTCACAGAGCATTTATTAGAGAAAATCATCTGAAGCTCAGTAAGACTAGGGAGCTTTCTTGCATTTTAACTAATTCTATTCCCATTCTCTCTCCTCACTTCTATGGTAACCTTGAAAACCAGTAACTCACAATCACACTGAAAACCAGCAGTCTTACAGTCACTGGAGTGGTCAGAATGGGATTGGAACACTTTCAAAGCCTCATCCCCAGAGATTTGTCATTATTTAACTGGTCTGGCAGTTTCCTGGAAACCCCCAGTCACAGAGTTTCTCTTTAATTCACCTGACTTTTCCTCAGAGCATTTGTCTGAAACAACCAGTAGCAATTGTTTAACATTGAAGTTTCCTGTGGCAATCATAACAATGGGCAAAAACAAATTGACATAAAAACATAAAAGGAAAAGCTTAGGAGTGGCATTAATCATTTCAGTAGGCACAGAAAAAGTAGTTGGCAAAATCCAACACCTTTTCCTTGATTAAAAAAATCACAAACTAGAAGCATAAAAGAAATTCCTCAATCTGTTAAAGGACATATATGAAAAACCCACAGTTAGCATCACACTTAAGGATAAAAGACTAGATTATTTTCATTTGGGATCAGGAACAAGACAAGTATGTCCACTCTTGTCTCCAATTTAACATTGTATTGGAGGTTGTAGCCAGGGCCATTAAGCAAGAAAATGGAGTAAAAGGCATCCAGATTGGAAAGGAAGAAGTAAAACTATCTTTATTTACAGATTACATGTTCTTAAATGTAGAAAATCCTAAGGAACCTATTAAAAATGACTAAATCTTGCAACGAACCTGAACAGACATTTCTCCAAAGAGGAATAGACATTTCTCATAAGAAAACATAAAATACCTAATGTAAATGATGGGGGGATGGGATGCAGCAAACCACCATAGCGTGTGTATACCTATGTAACAATCCTGCACAATCTGCACATGTACCCCAGAACTTAAAGTATAATAAAAAACATAAAAATGGCCAACAGGTATATGAAAAATTGCTCAACATCACTAATCAAGAACTGCAAATCCAAAACGCTATGAAATATCACCTCATACTCACTAGTATGGCTATAATAAAAAAGATGAGAGATAACAAATCTTGGTGACAGTGTGAAGAAAGGAGAACCCTTGTATACTGTTGGTGAGAATATAGGTTGGTGCAGCCATTGTGAGAATCGGTATGGAGATTCCTAAAGAAATTTAAAACACAACTACCATATGACCTAACAATCCTACTCCTGGGTATTAACTCAAGGGAGATGATCACATCAGAAAGATATCTACACTCTCATGTTAATTGTAGCATCTTTTGTAATAGCCAAAATATGGAAACAACCTAAGTGTCTATCAATAGATAAATGAGTAAAGAAAATGTGGTACACATACACAATGGAGTACTATTCAGCCATAAAAAAGAGACTCTGCCATTTGCCACAATATGGATGGTACTGGAGTACATTATGCTAAGTGAAAGAAGCCAGACATAGAAAGAAAAAATATTGCATGATCTCACTTATATGTGAAATCTTTTTTTAAAAAGTCAAATATATGGCGATAGAGAATGAAACAGTGGTTACTAGGGGTAGGGAGATATAATTCAAAGGATACAAAGTAGCAGACATGTAGGATGAACAACTTGAGATGGTGAATATACAACATAAAAACTATAGTTAATAAAATTGTATTGTATTAGAGTTTTTATTAAATAAATAGATTTTAGTTGCTCTTGTCACACAAACATAAGAGTAATTATGTGAGATAATTGGTATGTTAATTTGCTTCACTATAGTAACTGTTTTTCTGTCTATACATATCCCATAACATCATGTTTTATACCTTAAATATAAGCAATAACATTTATTTAAAAAACTATTAAAACTAATAAGTGAGTTCAGAGAGGTTTTAGAATAAAAGCCAAAATATAAAAATAAACTGTGCTTCCATAGATTAGTAATGAACAATCCAAGAGGAAAATAAAGAAAACAATTCCAATTATAATAGCGTGAAAAGGAATGAAACACTTAGAAATAGATTTAACAAAAGTTCAAGATGTGTACACAGAAAGCAAAAACACATCATTGAAAGAAATTAGAGGAAAATCTAAATAAAGGGAAAGACATCCCATGTTTATGGATTGGGAAGTTTAATATTGCTAAGATGGTAATACTCTCCCAACTGATCTATAGATTGTACACATTCCCTATGAAAATCACATCTGCCCCCTTTTTTTAAAAACAGAAATTGACAAGCTGATCCTAAAATTTATATGGAAATACAAGGGACCAAATTAGTTAAAACACTTCTAAGAAAGAAAAACAAAATTAGGACTCATACTTCTTGATTTCAAGGCTTACTACAAAGCTACAGCAATCAAGATAGCATGGTACTGACATAACAATAGTCATATAGACCATATGAAGTAGAATTGAGAGTTCGTACATAAATCATAAGATTTATGGTCAATTAATAATATTCACCAAACAGAAAACTTGAAAATACCAGGCATGAGGGTTTCCTTTAATATATTTGGCAGTCCAGCTTAACAGAATCTATCAGGAGAGAGAACATGGAAGACATAGGAACTTGTGATAGTAAGCTCAGTCATCTAAGCAAGGAGTGTTCCTTCCTCCACCGTCCCTACTACCAAGGAGATTCAGCATTGCTCTATTTAGCCAAGGTCTTTTAAGGCCTGTGGCAGAGGTTTTTAGTTTGGGGTCTATGAATATGATCAAGTGGTTCATAAGACGTCTACAACTCCAAATAATAATTTATGAATATATTAATATCTGTATTTTTTTTTTTTTGAGACGGAGTTTCACTCTTGTTGCCCAGGCTGGAGTGCAATGGCACGATCTCGGCTCACTGCAACCTCCGCCTCCTGGGTTCAGGCAATTCTCCTGCCTCAGCCTCCTGAGTAGCTGGGATTACAGGCATGCACCACCATGCCCAGCTGATTTTTTGTATTTTTGGTAGAGACGGGGTTTCACCATGTTGATCAGGATGGTCTCGATCTCTTGACCTCGTGATCCACCCGCCTCGGCCTCCCAAAGTGCTGGGATTACAGGCTTGAGCCACCGCGCCAGGCCCTGTATTTTTATATTCTACAGCTTTCATCAGATTCTCAAAGGAGTTGATGACCAGAAAGTCATAATCATTCACTGAAGGGTCCTTCTCTGGGATTTAGGTCAGCCAGCAGTCCTGAACTGCCCTAATTGGAATATAACTGCATAACTTAGTTGAAGCAATTATTTCCTGAGAGCTTTTCTTGGTGCTATGAACAGATGTGCTTGAGCCTCCCCTGGCTTTGGGGCACCTTTTTAGTATTATATAACTTACCTAAATCCTACTTAGTCATGCTTTGCTGCCATGACTTACGCGGACCTGATATTGCCCATTACTATGATGGTTGTTTCCTGCCTCATCCTGGATCCTGACTAGATCTGTGGCCGTATCACTATCATGCTGATGTCACTAGCTCAACCTTTTTCTGATTATTCTGTCAGGACACTTCAGTCATCCTAGATTGATGGATTAGGAGAATTATTACGTCATTGACAAAAAATATATATAAAGCAGGAGTGGAGTGAGAACTGCTTCAAAAGAAGTTGCTGGGCAGCCAGGCGTGGTGGTTCACGCTTATAATCCCAGCACTTTGGGAGGCTGAGGTGGGTAGATGATGAGGTCAAAAGATCGAGATCATCCTGGTCAACATGGTTAAACCCCGTCTCTACTAAAAGTACAAAAAAATTAGCTGGGCATGGTGGCACATGCTTATAGTCCCAGCTACTAGGGAGGCTGAGGCAGGAGAATTGCTTGAACCCAGGAGGCGGAGGTTGTGGTGAGCCGAGATCGGGCCATTGCACTCCAGCCTGGTAACAAGAGCTAAACTCCGTTTCAAAAAAAAAAAAAAAGTTGCTGAGTTTCTTTGTAGATGTATTAAATGAAGGTGAGACATATGAGTAGAAACCACCAGCAGATGCTGAGTCATTTATGTCTACTGCCTGGCCCTGTGAAAGCCTGAGTTTGTGAGCACTGGCTATAACTGAATCCTTGGGAAAACCCCAGTTAGGGGGCTGGAGGAGAAAGGATTGCTTGAAGAAGATCAAGAAGAAAAAGTTATACAGGTGAGATCCTAAAAAAGGAGACACTGCAATAAATCTTGGATAAGAGTCCTAGAAGTAATGGGATAAGAGCATGAGTGAAACAATTATCTAATTAGATACAGAGACTTGGAGTTCCAAAGATGCCTAGCTCATCACTGTTATTTGACAATCTCATGGTATATTAAAAGAAAATAATAAAAACATGTCAAAACATGGTCTTAACATTGTAAGATGTTTAAAATGTTTATATTTAACATACCAACACTTCTATCACCATCAAAAGTTCCACATTATGTAATATATTTACAAAATAAAATATTTTAATGTAACCAGTAATATTCTTTATTGTCTATGGTTTAGTAATAAGACACAAGTTTAAAGTTGTCTAATGTCATTTTCTTTAATCTTGCCAGTTTATGTCTGGAGTTAGGACTATACTTTCTGAATGTACAGTCTTTCTGAAAAAAATATTAAAAGTCTAAACAGAGGTCTTCAAGAACATGACACTGATCAAAATGGGTTTTCCTGTTTTAGAGATGTGAGGCTTCTGAAATAGTAGGAATAAAAGGGATGAGCGAATGAGTATGCTAGTCTTTTTTTTCAGATATATGATTTATGAACACAGTATATAGATTTTTTAGATCTTAGAGGAAGCTTAAAACATGGTAATCAAAGCTAAATCTGATAATTCAGATTCTCATTTTATTACAGACAAGGAAACTCAGAGAACTTCTATAAATTTATGTTACTAGCCTAGACTCAAGATGAGAAATCAAGTCCTCTTCAGAGTTTTCCAAACTTGCCTGATCATATGAATCACTTGGGAGCCTTGTGAAATATGGATAAAACAAATTCTATCCATCCTGACGTGCTAAATCATAATTTTGAGGCTTGGTGCCTGGGAATTCGTATTTTCACAAGGCTCCACAGCAACATGAGTGTGGTAATTTTGAGGGACATTGTATCCGGTTTACAACTCACTCATCTTTCCATCTTGACACTTGCCCCTCACAATTGCCACAATTTATGGCATTTTAAAGATCAAAAATGTTCACATTTTATAAAATTAATTAGGCAGAGGGTTTTGAATAGTGAATGAAGGCAACGTTGTGGACTTAGCCTTAATCATCCAATTTACCCTAATTTATGTCCAATTTGAAACACTTCAACTTTCAGTCTGTGTCAAATTATTCTGAGGCTGATTTTCATAAGAGTTCTTTTTAGCATGGCATTGGGTTTCTTGAAATCTGAGGATCTCTGGGCTGCAGTTAACCCAGTGTATGCTCAAGAACCTCTTCTTGGAGAATGTAAACATTCCATTATTCAGTCACCTTTGAAAAAAGACCACTTTCACCAAAGTAGAGACTCATAATTCTCATTTTATAGATGACAAAATGGACACCCAAAGAAGCTAACTGATTTACCCAAGTTCATATAGCTGTATTGTGGCAGGGCCAAAGAACAAACCTGTTCATTTATCTTGTGTTGATTGAGCACCAGCTTCTCCTGGGAAATACACTCACTGATGGGAATACAAAGGTGCAGAAGACTTGGTCCCTGCCCCAAAGGAAGCCTGGGTCTTCAGATTGCTGAGTCAGACAGCCTGAAGATGCTGGGCCATCACTAATGTCACTTGAACTTCATCAGAGCAAGTAGCTTTTAATTTTGAATCCCATATTTATTAAAACAGTCCTTGGGACTGTTGCAGGAGAAAGAGACATTGCAAACTGTTATCCTAGAGACTTGCTTTGCTTGGTCTGATTATCCTTACATATTTTTAAATTGTCTGTTAAAAATTAGGAAAGCTGACTTTTTAAAAATCTAGATTTCTGGATTATCTTAAAAAAAAAAAAAAAAAAAAAACACCAAAAACCTCAAGATCTGTCCTTACTGGACCAGTGTTCCTTTGCTGTGATAATTCTTTAAAGGTAAAGCACTATTGCTTACTTTATTTGGGCTGGTGCTAGCCAATTCAACATAGTTCCTAACCAGCACCTTTTACTCACTCCTACTGCCTACCCAATTCCTAAATTATTTAAGTTTGTTAAACCTGGCAACTAACTTCTGGGGCCACCAGTTATTGTCTGAACCATGCTTGACGGCAGATGGCAGCAGTAAGCTGCGTTATTACCATTTCTCTTCCAAGTTGGAAGGATGCACTACAACACCAATCAGCTCCAGGGATTTTTCTTCTATTCCTCTGAAAACAAAACAAAAAACCCAAGGTCATCAGGTTTTAGTTGAGTCATATTTTGACAATGTTATGAAAAAGAGATTTAGTGTTAGTAGTGAGAAAAAGCCTTTTGTGTGCAATACGAATCTACCAGGAAAAATAGCTGGCTGGCTCCCAGGAAGAAGAGTCCTGAAGCTGAGAGATAGCGAAAGTTGGCTTGCAGCCATTAGTTGGGGAGTCTCTTTCTCATGCCACATAATAAAAATTAACTCAGATGAGTCATAGACCTAAATGTAAGAGCTAAAACTTTAAAACCTTTAGAAAAAAAATAGGAATAAATATTTGTGACCTTGGATTAGAAAATAGTTTCTTAGATATAACACAAAAGCACAAGCAACAAAAGAAAAAAAATATAGGACATCAAAATATAAGACTTTTGTGTTTTAACGTACATCATCAAGAAAAAGACAGCCTCCAGAATAGAAGAAAATGTCTGCAAATAATTGATTTCATAAAGGACTTGTATACAAAATATATAAAGAACTCTTATAACTGAACAATAAAAAGAAGACTGCCCCAATTAAAAATGGTTAAAAGAACTGAATAGACATTTCTCCAAAGTATACAAAAAGCTAATAAGCATATAAAAAGATGTTCAACATCATTTGTCAACAGAGGAATGCAAATCAAACAATAATGAGATACCACTTCACTCCCCGTGGTTAAGGATGGCTATTTAGGATGACTAAAATACAGACAATAACAAGTGCTGACAGTGATGTGAAGAGAACCTTCATAACTGCTCATGGAATAATAAATGGAACAACTACTTTGGAAAACGGTTTGGCAATTTCTCAAAATGAATGATCCAGTAATTCCATTCCTTGTTACACAGCCAAGAGAAATGAAAACATGTACACACAAAAGAGTTGTACATGGAGATTAATAGCAGCTTTATTAACAATAGCCAAAAGATGAAAAAAACATGTCTATCAATTGGTGAATGGTTAAACAAAATGTGGTAAGCAGTGCCACCTTATCTGTGATTTTGCTCTCTATGGCTGCAGTTACCTGTGTAAAAGTCAGTCTGAATATATTCAATGGAAAATTCTAGAAATAAGCAATTCATACATTTTAAATTGCATGTTATTCTGAGTGTAATGAAATCTGGTGTCATCTCATTCTATACTGCCATGGCTCCAAAATGCAAGATTAGTGATGCTGATTCAGATATGCCAAAGAGAATCCATCAAGTGCCTCTTTTAACTGAAAAGGTAAAAGGTATCATTGACTTGATACAGAAAGAAAAAAGTTGTATGCTGAGATTGCTAAGATTTATGAGAAGAATGAATCTTCTATCTGTGAAATTGTGAAGAAGGAAGAAGAAATTTGTGCTAGTTTTGCTGTCATACCTCAAACTGCAAAAGTTATGGCCACAGTGTCTGTTAAGTGCTTAAAGTGGAAAAGGTATTAAATTTGTGGGTAGAAGACATCAATAGAAAAATGTTCTGACTGATGGCAATTGGGTTCGGTACTATTGAGGTTTCAGGCATCCACTTGGAGGCTTGGAACATATTCCCTCCAGATAAGAAAAGTCTACTGTGTATCCATACAATGGAGTATTATTCAGCCAGAAAAAGAATGAAATTCTGATACATGCTACAACATGAATCAACTTTGAAAACATTAAAATAAGTAAAGGAAGCCAGTCAGAAAATAATTCTATTGATAGGAAATGTCCAGAATAGGCAATTATGACTGCCACCAAGATGGCCAAATAGGAACAACTACGGAGCGCAGTTCCCAGCTACAGTGACACGGAAGGTGAGTGATCTCCACATTTCCAACCGAGGCACCAGGTTCATCTCAATGGGACTGGTTGGACAGTGGGTGCAGTCCAAGGAGGGCAAACCGAGGCAGGGTGGGGTGCTGCCTCACCCAGGAAGTGCAATGGGCCAAAGGACCCACCCTACCCAATGGAGGACACTGGGGACTTTTCTGGCCCCTCTAGCACTCTGGTTCAAATACTGCACTTCTCCCACTGTCTTTACAGCCTACATACCAGGAGATTCCTGCCGTGCCTGCAAGTGCCATGGGTATCCAGCACAAATCTGGGCAACTGTTTCAGCTGGCGCTTCAGGTTTCCAGCACAAATCTGGGTGGCCATTTTAACTGGTGCCTGGAATGCCTGTGAGACAGAGCCACCCATACCCCTGAAGAAAAAGGGGGCTAAAGGCAGGGAGCCAAGTGACCTGGCTCTGTGAGTCCCACCCCCACAAAGACCAGCAAACTGAAACCCACTGGCTTGAGAGTTATGCAGCCAGCACAGCAGTTTGACCTGGGATGTTTGAGCTCGGTGGGGGGAAGCACATCTGCCATTACCGAGGCAGTCTGCCATTAGGATGGCAGTTCTAACCTTACCTGTGTAAATAAAATCACAAGGAAGTTTAAACAGCAACTGGGCAGAGCCCTGTGGCAGCTCAGCAACGCATCTACAGGCAGACTGTGACTAGACTCCCTCCTTGCTGTGCAGGGCATCTCTGAAAAAAGGCAGCATCCTGTCAGGGACTTATAAATAAAGCCCCACCTTCCTGGGATAGAGCACCTGGGAAAAGGGGCGGGTGTGAGTTCCACTGGACCAGACTTAAACGTCCCTGCCCAGCAGCTCTGAAGGGAGCAATGGAGCTCTGAACTCAGCACTTG